TATATATATATATACATATATATATATGAGTATACTAATATCGGTCACACATTATGTACAACGTCGTGAAGATCTTTTCGTATGATATGATTGTATGTGATACGTGTGTGTGTGTGTGTGTTGCGTTAATGTAACGCGTCCCTATATTGCAGTAGGGCTGTGAAATAAATCAACCAGACACTTGGCCGCTCCTGTGTGTGTGTTCACTATTCCTACATGCATGACGATTAATGATCGATATGACCAAGCGGGGATCCATAGTCTCTCTCGTCTTCGTAGCAATGCGTATTCATTTTTATTCTTGGTGCGCCATAATTACTTCACATAATTACATATTATAGTATAAATATTATTTTTACGAGCGAACGAGGACGCGATGCCGATTGGTAGCAGTGTGTGTGCGTTCCATTCCGCGCGTTGATTACTGGAGATACGCGACGGTGCGGTGTTCCTTTAAATAAAATCGTATCCGATATATATATATACACACACACACACGCGCACGAACGGAGGAGTAATAGTTTTCCTCGTAGTCTCGGGAATTGTCCTTATTCTTGAATCTGCGTGTGGACGTTTCAAGATGTCGAGGATGTTGCCGCGATTTGGCTGTTGTTTTGCAACATGTTTTCTACGTTGTGCAACACTTTGGCTTGCGTTGGAGAAGGCAACAATTCATTCGTGGGCAGTATGGCGCTCTTGGATGGATGAAAGAAATATAGCATAAAGCCTGCCACCAATAGCAGATGCATCCCCAGGATCACGGCAACGTATATTATTCGATGTTTACCTGCAAATTCAAACTGTATTTATAACTGGGTGCTTATCTTTACAAGATGAGCCACTTAACTATCTCTATTTAAAGCTCGATCTTTCTTAAAAATACGGAAATTCCTTTGCACTGTTTTTTTTAACTTTCTTTTTAGTTTTCAGATATAGAATATCAAATGTTGTGACAGGGCTTGAGCTCACTCACTACACGTCAGTGAAACACTGCATGTGATTTCTCACCTGCGATGACTGGCAATAACGACCGCAGCAAAACTCCTACGGATAAAAGCGTCGCTACTATGGCCAAGCACCACTGCAACCAGCCAATTTGAATCGTCCACAGAAATGTCACTGGAATGTAGATAGTTAGAGAGTATCCATAGAGACACAGAAGTTCTATTATTCTCGGAGCAGCGTAAGACTGGAAAATAAAAATCATACAAAGTTACAATAAACAATGCCATGCAAAAAGATTGTAAACATTACTTGGTAACAAACCTCAATCAGTTCTTCTTCAGTATTTCTCGAGCTGTTAGTCCATTTTAATGCGCCCCACAGAGCCAATGGCACAAGCCAGGCATATAGGAATATACAAGTAGCTGCGTAGGAGACGACATGGAAATCATATCTCCAGTGGAATTTAGTAGAGCCAGCAGTCTGCAAATAATTCGCCATGTTCCCGCTGATTGCAATGGAGAAGACCAGAGTCAAGCATATCCAGAAGGGCCCGTATAAGTCTGGATTTGGTCTAATGTGCGTTATAAAGTAATTGTCGCGACCATATGGTATCATGGATCGCTTGAGTCGCCCCAAGACATCGTTTGTATTGACATTGAAGAACTTCTGGTAATATTCGATCGCCCAGAAGCTGTGTTGAGAGTTGCCTGGCAAGCAGAAATTGTACTATGATTAAAATCAACTCAAAAAACTAACCAAACAAGACTTGGGTCTTCCAAATTGGAGAGGATAAAAATATTGATCATGATTAAGGCGCAAACGATACTTCATTATTGATACTAAGTGTGAGAGAGAGAGAGAGAGAGAGAAATTATAATTACGAACTTTCATTTTTATTGGGTAATCCCTGTAGATCTTCTATAATACCGACGCCAGTGGAGTCGTTGGGGAGGTTATTGAATGGCTGATGAGTGGAAGGCCCGGTGCCTAGCTGTCCCTCGGTGTTACCAGCCTGACTTATCGGTGTGAAATCGTTGAAGGATATAAATTGTGAATCGGTGTTTTTCGGCTGACCACCGTCCATGGCTCCGGTTCTCCTTTATCTTCACTTTGACAACTATCAACTGTATCCAGCAGTGATCTCTAATGGAGCTTAGGTACACACAGAACGCGGCAACAAGCGACGTGGTAGCCAATAAACTTCTAGTCTGTCACGGAAAAGCGGCACGTTGGTTGGCTACCGCGTCGCGGCAAGCGTTTCCACGTTCTGTGTGCGGAAGCCGTAAGATCTGTTCTTTTTAGCTGAGCAATGCCGCGTCGGGACTTCGTTTCTGTCTCTACTATATTTCGACATTCACTGTGGTACTGAAAATCTATAATATACGTAACAAACTATAAATTTTTAGTACCGACAGTGAATTTCGGAGGGCTGGTTATACAGGGGGTGTTCCGGATCGAAATAATGAAATTCTCTATGCTATCTCAGTACAAGCACGATATATGCTTGACGATTATTCCGAAGATACTAAGAAGGTATTTAGAGGTATTTGTTTGTGTGCTCACACCTCGGGAATTGCGTGTTGACAAACAAAACTTGATTTAAAGATATAACGAATTATGAATTTGTTATCTGTTGTCCGTTATAAATTCTGTTATCAAGGAGAATGTCGCAAATAATCGTATCGTAGGTTTTCCAAACAGTTGATTTGGTAAAGTTTAACATGTATCATTTAATTTCAAAAATCTCGAGATGGCAAATATTTAAACTATTGTTATCGACAAATTTATAATGTAATTGATGATTTGAAAAAGCATGTGTATTAAAAACTCCCTCCACGTTTACATATTTCTTTGCAATTTACAAAAAATATATAAATGGCTTGTATGCATTTCGAGCAATGTCCAGCAGTATTTTATAATTTATATATTATTGTATTTTCACATACACATATACATTGTGTGTGTGTGTGTGTGTGTATTCTCTAATAATATGCACATAATATTTTATATTGTTTAAAATGGCGTTAGTAACGTGACATTACAATTATCTATGTCAAGTAATTTTGTAAGAACATAAATCGTATTAATGATCGGCACTAAATACAATAACTAAATACTTATTACGATAATATATATAATCGGTCATACAGCCCCAGTAAGGCACAAAGGAACGAAATTTATTTTCGCCAAAATACAGAAATAAAGACGCACCTAAAACTTCTTTCAACTTGCTTACGTTCTGTTCCGTTTTAAGTTTACAGGCGGTGGTTAAAAGCAACGGGCAATTTTGACTGCGCAACATTAAAATTATCCCCAACCATAAATCCTCTTGAGTGAGATCCATCCGGAACCCTATAATTATGTTTGGTATCTTATATAACGTACTACACACATAATCGTGATACAACATACGACAAGATTCAATGATAAGTTTCTGGTTCCTTCTTTCGGGGCGCTCAGTAGCAACATTGATAACAAAACTTCGATATCTTTCCTTCAATTCCATTCCTATCAGTACAACCCTTAAATTGTCTGTCTCGCAAATAAGATGCATCAGAAGTCTCCAAACTGGAGCGCAATACATATCAAAGATGTCTGCACCTATTACATGAACAACATAATTGTCATTTTTTTTATTCAAAATATTTACCAACTTTGCAATGTTCTGTCCGTGGTATAATGTCGGTGGTGCCAATACATAATCGGAGTACAGATAATCGCTAAAAACCTACGATCATCGTCTACTTCACTACTCGCTTCCATATATTCTTTAAGAAACGTTTCCATGTCAACGACAGGTATATTCTTCTCGGACAGAGCAACGAATTTTGTCCAAGGCTTAAAGCCATTCAGAGACGTAATTTTTAAATTGAGAGACAACAATAGCTCTTTGCAATTAGTGATGTGACATCTTTGAAACAGTTCTACATGAACGTCGCAATAGTTAGCGGAATGGCACATCGCGCACGCGGACAGATTCGCTTGTTGACGACAGATCAGGCATGATTTTGCAAACACGATCATTTGCTCTTCGTACATCAGCAATTCGCAGCGTAATTCCTCCTTGATTAAGCTTAAGTATTCTTGCCTCAACATGATCCATTCCTCCCGGCTTAACTGTCGAGTGTCCCATCCCTCATCCACTCGTAAGAAACTTCTGATAACCGTGCAGATCTGCATATGCTGCGTTCGGTGGAATTCCTTGTGTTGTTCACTGCAATAAGTGATCATGTAACACTGATCGCACGTTATGAAATTGTCATCAGATGCCGTCTTACAAACGTGACAAATGTTCGGATTGAAAAACTTATTGTAAAGATTAGTCTGTATTTCGTCACAGGCTACTATCAATTGATTCGATGCAGACATTACGACACGTGGATGATGTATAATCACAGATGTGTTATTTGTAATATTAATTTAGAAGTAACGTACGGGACTCGGCGCCTTAGCCGAAACAATTAAATTCTTTACGCCCAGTAGAAACACATGTGTATTGAATGATTATTCTGAGGACACTAAGAGAAGGTATTTAGAGATGCTCGCGCGCACAACTCTGGAATTGTTGGCGAACTGTAAGTTGTATTTGAAGATATAACGAATTATGAATATCCGTTGGAGAAAGTCACAAATTGTTACGCGCGGGTTTATCAAACAATTGATCTGTTAACTTTCAATATGTACTTTATAGTTTATAAAACTATAAATGTATACATATGTATAAAATATATGGTAATGTCACTTGGGAACTGTTTATAAGATCAACATTTGCAACATTATAATTGTTACATAAACAAGATTTCCAATCTACATGCAATGCCATATGATTAATATTCATATATCCGGCGACAATTATTATGAATATTGATCAGACGACTGCAAGTACATTGTTGATTGTACGTACATTGGAAATCTTGTTCATGTAACATATAACATTTATAATACGTACCTTACTTGTACAGCATATTCTGTATAAGGCAATATAAACTTTGCCGTAATAATTTAAAATAATGACACCAATTTTTTGAAACTTTTTAGAAGTTGCTTGACCGTTCTATATAACAGTCGGGGTATTAAGGTCATGGGGGATCAAAGGCCTTAGAAGAGGTCCCACTTCATTTTTTAAAGAAATTTCTGAAATGGGTCGACCGTATTCTGTCTATTTGGTGCTAATTGCTTTTCAAAATATGCGCAAAAAAAGATAACGGAACATTATTATTGTTAAACTATATTCTTGTTCTTACAGTCTGTCTAATAAGAACGTGGCCGACATGACTTTTAAACTATTCATTATAAAAAGATGAAAAATTATGTTTGTCGTACAGAACATTAAATTTATGTATATCCAGTTTTACATCATGTGTCTTTCGGTTTTCCTGGACGAAATTTATTTATCGCCATAATTCTTTAAGTATGTAAAGTCAGAGGAAATGTTTTAAATAAGTGTTAGGATTCAAGAGAATTCTTTCGAATTGCAAATATCAAAATGTCAATATCTCATTAAAGAAAAGAATATATAAATAAAGCGTAGTATTTTTCTTTTCTATCTACTGTGAGGGATTCGATATCGCCATGATATCGTGCCTAACATAGAAAACATTTTGGGAATTATAAATTTAAATAGTTAAATATTAGCATACAATAGCTTCCAATCATTCAGATATACAATTAGAAATTCTGAAGAGGACTTCTGACTATATTACTAGAAATTTTAATTGAGAAGAGGAAAGTATATAAAGAAGTTTGGTCGTGCCATCGTCGAGTCAGTTTAACGTTTGTCTAATTAACGTTGAGGAATAAATCATATTGATGGCGGTGCACAACTTGAGCTCGGAGACGAAAATCGTTATTTCTGAAATTGTCAGATTTCCCGAATCTGACAGCATCAAGCACCTTCAAAAGAATCTATTTAATAAGGCAGATCTTGGTTCGGACGATTGTTACCGATAGCTACAAGGTAATATTTCTTTAAATCTTACACCCGAAGTATATCGTGTTTCAAATGTAAATTAACACGTTATATCGTTTGTATGATTTAACGCGTGGAATATGAAGAACTGTCGCTTAGGAAAGATTAATAACATCGAGAAATTCGATGCGGAATATTTGGATATATCCTTTCAACCTAGCTCATATTTTCAATCCTGCAAGATGCCTCTTGGAACATATTTGTGAGACTATTCTTGACGCGAGAGTAAATCTAAATGAATTTACGCAGCGCGAAAATCGTCGGGGCGTGTTACATGGAAACGCAGCCTCTATGTGTAGAATCCGCTTGCAGAATCATTCGATCTGGAGAGTGTGAGGCCATGATTGTTGCAGACGCAAACTTCTGCTCGAATCCTTACATATCCTTGCAGCTCGCGCGACTTGGTACTTCACACTAGTATTTGCACCTATTTTTAGGAAATAACTGACGAAAGATCAAATCTAAAAATTTAAGCGGGGTATATGCCGAAACATATTTCACTGAGATCTCACATTATGATATCGTAAATTTCAAGTGTTTTTATCGCCCGATGGTCTCCGACATCGAATGGTTACACGTGCGATGAAGCGATCACTGCGTCGTGTATTTGCAGAGAGCGAAGGACGCTGAAAGAATTTTACGTGACCGCGTGCGAGGGCAAATTGCGACAGATTCGAGAAATCCAGAGTATTATCTTCCCATCGAGCGAAATGCAACAACGTTTATTTTTTAGGAGTTTTACGATAATTGCGGTATATCGTCATCTTGCGTCGTCTACTTGGAAACCACTAGCAAATTCAGAACGGCCCTAGTTGGACTTGATGGAACCGATTGATAAAAGACTGTGTCCGTCTTTGAAGAAAACCGGCGCGTAAGTTGGTGATCGAAGAGAAGTCGATGCAGTCGAAAAAGTTATCCGCAAAATATAAACATAATCTAGACGCGTCCCCCGGGAGACGCGTTACCTCCGGTGCGCTTTGAAATCGCGGAAAATCGCGCGCTGCTCCCTATGCGAACGTGGGAGGAAGAGAGTGAGAGAGAGAGAGAGAGGGCGAGGTGCGCGCGCGCGTGCACAGGTTGGCGCTCGGTCTCTGGCGAATTTTCACGAGCGGCGTGCGGCGGCCGCGAGTCGGCGCCACAGTCGCAGTGTGTACATGCAGTTGTCTATATGCGAAACGTCTCGCCGCGCGCACCGCAGCAGCAGCAATTTCGGGTGATTTTATCGTGGTTTCCGCGCGGCGACTCGCACCGCGCTGTCTCCCACGGCACCATCAGGTCCGCCGGTGTCTCGAGTCTCGGTAAGCACGCCGGTTTCACTTTACTTTTCGCGTACGACGGCCCTACGCGTTTGACATGGCGTGCGTTTGACACGCGCTCGCGCGAGCGCGCGCGCCTTCTCTCGCTCACTCGCTCCGGAGCTTGTTCGCACGGAGGGACGCTGGGATTTTCGCAAGCGACGTTTCACGGTGAGACGGCGTCGTCGAGATGGCGCGTCGCGTGCGGAGCGACGCCGGGGAAGCGCAGCCGCCAACGCAGCGAAACACGGGATATCCACAAGTGGTTGCGTCGCGCGTGTATGTGTGTGTGAGCGCGTAGGTGAGCGAGCGAATGCAGGGTGTGCGTGCGCGACGGCGACGCGACGACGACGGCGTTTCGAGACGTCACGCCGCGCCGCGACGCACACCACGCCGCGATGGTCTCGAGAGGATCGGTCGCCAGCCCAGGGCCGCATCTAGGACATTCTGACGCGCGGGCGGGGGTTTTCTTTTTTTTCTTTTTCGTCGAAATGCGGCCGTCGGTGTCGATTTTCGCGAAAACCTGCGAGCGTTTCGGGAAATCGCGATTACAACTCGTGAGTGAGTGTTTTCGCACGAGGGACTCGGGTCGTTCGCGTTTTAACGATCCGCACGGCGCGGCGGAAAAATATCCGATAGAATTCGCGTGTTTTTTTCTCACGTAAATGCGATATCTCCAAATCGATATTAATTTTATCCTCGTAAGCGCGTTTACTTATCACGCGTCATACGGTTGTGAAATATCAATTTTCATGAGAGACCGACGTCGCATATGTGTGACACAATCATTTTTTATCTATGTCCATATAAACAAATTAAAAGTTTTATATTATTGAGGGAAAAATTGTATAACAGAGTGTTCCAGCATAAGAACACCCAAGTATCTCCTTTATTTTTAATGATATGAAAAAAATTTTTTTTTATTAAGGTCTCTATATTTAAGCTTCCAAAATATTTAGACGTTCTCTTTATTTTGGGACACCCTGTATATAGAGTAGTTTGTGGCGAGGTTTTCCAGATGAACAGTGGTAGCAAACGTGTTGAAAACGTGTTAAAACTAATGGAAAGGTCGTTAGATACGTCGACGTTTCCGCATGTTGATGCGAATTATTCATTTGACGTGGAATACCGCGTCGTATTCTTTTCTCTGTAGAGAAAAGTTCGAAGTATTGTCGATGAAATATACTTTCTCGTCGACAGCGTGCTCTTCCTTCTCACTGCAGCTATCTACAACAACGTTGGGATGTAACATGTGACATTTGTGAATAAATTGTATGCAGCCGACGATTGACAAGGCGTTCTTGATTACTCGCTCGAAATCTCCGCACATTCCTCCGTATTTCCTACAATTTTTCTTTTTGTTAACTGAGTTTCTTTTTTTTCCGTTGTTGCAGAAGCCTCCTCGCACACTTTCGCACATCCTCCCGTTTCTTTTTCATTCACCGTTTTGGTAAGCCCAACGTTTTATTTATCTTCCTCCGTTTTATTATTCATTTTACATTTTATCTCTTTGTTGTCAACTTAATCCGCCTAGTATAATTTTATCAATTAAGATATTTGATCGTTAGGCGATCATTATGCGAATATTTTGCGATCATTCTGCTATTATCATGCGATATTACGTCTTTTTCCATCTGCGATCGCTTATTTTGCATCTTTCAACGCGCGATATCATATTCGTTCCTCGCTTCGATAAATATCGACCAAGGAACATCGTACCAACCATAAGGCGGCCCCGGCCACGTCTGCATTACCGCGCAACAGAAACAGAAATGCAGCTCGCGTTGCAGCTGAAAGATGTCGCTATCGGTCTCGTACTCCGACGCGCGTAGTCCGCGAGCTTCCGCGTTTAAAATCGCGGATTTGTCAGAGCAAGAACGCACGGACGATTTAATTTAATTTAGCCAAGATAATTATTAATAATTCGACGTTTTATTATTACTCTGCGTTTTCATTGTTGATCATCCGCGCGTCATGACGTCGCGCAACGTTAACGAGAAAATTAGTCGAACAGGTGGGAACAATTGGCGAATAAATTTGGCGGAGAAAAAAAACGTGACTTCGCAACGGCCAATTATCATACAGCGAGTAACGTCGAATTTGCG